TATTGTTGCAGGTGACGTTTGCGCCAGCATCCCGCTGTTTAAGAAAGCACTTAGCGCTTTTGAAGGCGCGGCGCAATCCTGAGTCCATCGAGAGTCGCTTAACTCGATGCGCCCACGGCAAGAAACAGCCCAGGTGCGCCTGATGCGAGTGACACAGGTATCGCGACGTATTCTTTGTTCCCGGGAATCACGACCTCTGGGTGCCGCCCACAGATGCCGTAGGGGCACTCCGGTGCTCCGTTCGCAAGTTCTTCCAACTCCTCTTTGTTTGTGACCAACTCGAAGTCATCTCTACGCCCGCAGAGCTTTGCGACGGGACCCTTATCCTTCCACTCTTTTCCTGGTACGAACCTCAGTTTGGCAAGAAAATGGATGAAGGGTTTGAACGTACCAAGGATGACACGGTCCAGAAAACCTTCGACACCCTCTGCAGCTGGCCCAGCTTCCTGAAGAGTCTCCCGTCTGATGAACCGGATGCAGAAGCGACGACTAGCTCCCTGTCCTCGAATGTTGACGCGCTTTTCTGCGCGCTCAATGCCAAACATCTTGAGCTCACGAAAGCACTCAGTCCGACTGTCATCGTTTCTTTCTCACACTTTGTCCCACGAGCGTCTCTCTTCCCTGGTTTCAAATGCTTCGCACCTGTCATGGGTTCGACTACCCTCCAGAACCAGGTCCATTCCCTTAGCCCGAATGTCCACGTTTTTGGTCATTCGCACATAGACGTGGATGACTGGATCGACGGTGTCCGGTGCGTCTCCTTGTCTACACATGCTATCCTCTAAAAGGAAAGTCGACACTCCAGGACTAGGTATGTGCAAAACGCTGTCGGCCAGCCAGCAGATAAAGATGATCTCCTAGAGAAGGCGCCTGTCCTCATTTGGGATGCAGATTGGGTCGATCGCGACATGGCCACATCAGACGACCGAAATCTCCTCGCGTCAAGTCGGGCTTCTGGAGCTAACGATGCTCCCGGAAATTGACACAGAAGTCGATCCTTCCCCGAAGAAGCTTGAACCGACTCCGAGCGAGACCACGCAGACTACTCGCATTGCGGAGCTGTGTCATCAATCATACATTTGCAACAACGTTTACCAGCGCAACTTTGGAATGCTTCAAAAGGTCGGAACACACTTCAGCACAATCGTCAGCCTCAATGACGACAAGGTGTTGGAGGACTACTGGAATTACCGAGTCTCCCGTCTACTCAACCTTGAGATTGTCGGCATTACTGACCAAGCGTTGTGGTGCCATAACCCGTGCTTGTTTCTGAAGGTCACGTGGGACAGTTTTCGCGTACTCGGTCGCAGGCACTCTTCTGCCTTGTCCCGCGTTTCACCCGGCTCCCGCCGCCGTACCCCTCCGCGTCATGCCTCATGTCACGGGAACAAACTCTCACCGACCTCAAAATCCCTGGTCGCCACGCAAACAATTCCCTCTCCGACAGCCGACACGTGCGCATCCCTAGTGAGGGAGTAACCGACCTCGAGAGCCACGAGCGGGCCAGCGGTCCGCGACGGCCTTTGCGGGCGCCCCCCCCCCCCCACTCATTAAACCCCGGCGCTCAAGGGGGGTTGACACCGGCCTCAAAATCAGCCCAGCAGGCCTAGGGGCCGTGTCAAATTGGTGCACGGACTGATGTGAGCATCCTAAGCGCGTAAACGGACTTTTAGGGGCGTTTAGCGACGCGGTCGGAGCGCTCGTTTACAAGACCAAAATCGACAAAATCGACAAAATCGACAAAATGCGAGCATTTCATTGGTCGGATTCGAATCCGCCGGGATCCAGCAGTCTATAGCGCATGCCAGTGGTCATGGAGCGCAACGCCTAGGGCCAGGGTGGCTCACCTAGAGCACGAGAGCATTAAAGGAAAGCATCGTGACGCACCCACCTAGCTCATCCGAGGACGCCGGTCCCCCCTCACAAAGGTTAATCTAGGACAGCTCGCGTCGGCGAAACGGCGCCACGGGGCGCGCGAGCATGCCCCCAAGCGCCAAAGCAACAGCATCCATTGAAATTAAAAATAACATGAAGCCACGATGAAGGCCAGCGGTTGTCAGCCGCGAGTTCAGCCGTCCTGCACAACGCTTCTGCTCGTGCATCGATGCAGCGATTCTAAGATTTGGCGCTGCGCTCGATCTGTGGACCGTGCCGCGCCTCGTGGCCCGCAGCGAATCGCTCGGGAAACGCCATCGGTCGAAGGCGACCAACTTAGCTCGCGTCGGGGCAGCCCATGGATGATGAGAACGGCCATTGACGGTGAACGGCGGTCGATGGGGGGCCAACCTCGTACCAGGGGTCGAGCTGGCAGCGAGAGTGGGAGGTGACATCCCCTCGATTGTCCTTCTCGACTGGCTCGGCAATGTAAGCTCCTTCACTATAGACTAGAAAGGTAGATAAAGACAGTATAGAGTAGTCCTCTCCTGTTGGGAACCAGGGCTGCCTAGCAGGAGGCGCCGTTCAAAATTGAAGACCTGGAACCCCTGGTGGTGCCCCACCAGGTGGTGATCCTCCAGAGAGATAGAGAGTTTTTTTTGCCAGTGTACCTTCCTAGTGGCTCACTGGTACAGAGCCACCCAATATCTTTTCCCTTCCTTAATACTTTCTAACCCTGTTATAGTTGCGTCCCGCACTGTAATAGACGCAGAGTCTTCCTGGACCTAGTGAGGCATGTCCTCTGCCCGTTCGTCCAGTAGCCCCGCCCCCCGTATACTACGGCAGCTGAGGTGACGTGAGGATAACAGAGACGCCGGTGTACCGCCACTGCGTAACCTCGATAGTTCACCCTCGGACGGCAGGGCAGCCCCACCAGGCTGCTTCCCCGTTCCGGAGTTTACTATCTCGCTACCCAGGTTCGATGGCAGATTGTGGCTTTCTCCGGAGCCAGGGGCCACTGGACAGCCCTATACGCCACTGTTGGTGAAAGCATCGGCAAGGAAATTGTCTCAACACGGGCTGCTCCCGGCTCAAGATTCCATACCATGGTGTCTACTTCAACATGCTACTTGTGACACCAAATGGCCGCTCCTCGACTACAACCTTCTCTCCAGAGCTATATGAGCGTCGGGGCCGTGTTCGCAAAGGCTTGCTGCATCTCTGCGAGCAAGGGTAGGTTGTCGCCAAGACACGGGTGCAGTGACTAGGCCACTACACCCGCAAATTCCGCCATGGCTTCTACCGCAGGCAGGACGTACCCACAGTCCTCGTAAGGTCCGGGGTTGTTCTGGCCGTCGGAAGATCCATAACCGGAGAAGCACGCACAAACTCCCGTCTCTCGAGAGCATAGGCCGCGCCCAGAGCATTCTTCCCATTCTTTGGTGCCTACAAGTAGGGTGAGTTCACGCCGCCAAGCGCAAGTACGGTGGACTCTCGGGAGCACCCGCTGCAGACTCGGAGATGGTGAATGCAGCATCTGAGGCCTCGAGGAGAGGAAGATCGCCAGTGGGACGAAGGAATTCAATGAGGATATCGGTGCCGGACGTTGAGCAGGCAAAGTTTCCGCCATCGTCGCCGCCCACAACATAGAGACTGATTTTGACATCCCAGATTGTGTCTAGCGCCTCAAGCGCAACTTCGAGCTCTGAAAGAGTTAATGTAGCTGGGTTCAACGGCTCGGTGACTTCCTCGCGAAAAGTGAAGTAAACAATGGATGATGTGTCGTCATCAAGATCGCAGGTCACAAGTTGGACCTCATTGTACTGCGAGTAGTCTGACAGAGGGTCGTCGCCGTGGGGACACAACTGGCCAGAGCAGTCGTAGTTCGTGTAGCCCGAGTTGCATTTGCAGCCACGGATTGCCTCAAAATCCCAGCGGAGCGCATCATTTGGTGTCGCTCCGTACGTGAGGTCGGTCCTGACACCTGTGGTAGGTCCAAATGAGAACTGACAGAAAAGATACCCCCCCCTTGCCCTTGAAACGAATACTGAACGCTCTGATAGGCGCACCGTTTTCTGTGGCAGCCTCAGCGAGAAGTTTCATGCTTAGACACTCGCCATGGTCGCTGCACGGGGCTTCCCCGGGACAGGAGAGATATTGGCAGGCTGCGCCCTCAAATCCCAGCGCACATTCGCATTCGCCGTAATCTACGTTGCATTTGCCCATGTCACTGCACTCGGTCATTGCAAGGTGCGCAAAATCATCATCAGTCGGGTATGAGAACCAAGATCGGCCTTTGGGACAGGTCATGAGGCTGCAGTCCGCTCCAGAGTAGCCATCCTGGCAGCTACATGTGTAAGTCACCGAGTCACAGTACCCGAAGCCACTGCATGGTACCTCACCCGGGCAGTCATTGACCTGTGGTGTGTCGCATGATAATTCCCCAGATATTCTCTTTAGACGGGTCAACACATGGGGCAGGTACGGACACAGTGGGCAACTACAACAAGTGCAGCTCCGCAGTCGCCGCGTGACCCTTCCCTGCCAAACCCGTCGCTTGTTGTCCAGCAATTTGTACTGCAGGTCGAAAGTGTACTGCAGTCACAATTACCAAGGCTTGTATCACAGATGCCCCGACCGGAACAAACCGCGTCTTCCTTCGAGCTAACACGTGCCTTCTGTGCCAACACCGAGGCCGTTCCCGTGGACAGCACCAGGGCGCCCACATTGGCTTGGACAAGGGGGAGCTGGTCACCAAAGTCCTGCAAGAATTCTATCGTTGTCGTCGTCGATCCATCTTTAGAGCACCACACCGTTGACGGTGCCGAGAGGCTGATGCCCACGGCATCCGCACCTCCTACTTGAGCAATGGTCGGGAGGGCCTCAAGCTTGCTCTTGATCTGGTTTGCACTACTGCTAGCCGAAATTTCGGTCGTCCAGTGGCCTCCGAAGCCCAGAAGGACCGACCCATCGTCCGCCGTGCACGTCAGGTGTTGCTTCTCAGTCTGCCCCATCAAGGTCATCGGGTCATCACCGCTTGGGCACATCCGCAGGCTGCAATCAAAGCCATAAAAGCCCTCATCACACAGGCAACCGTACAGCATCGTTGCGTCCCAGACATTTTCATATGCTGGTACGCTCGGCATCGACCCATCGGTCTCAAATGTGTACGAGTTTAGGCCGAAGCCCGGCTCACGAGTTGTTGCAAAATATTTCATGGACACGCATCTCCCATTCAGTGAGCATTCGTTGGGACAACTCTTTCGTTCGCAAGCCGCGCCTTCCCAGCCCTCCGCGCATATACACTTACCGGAAGAGGTCTCGCAAAGGCCTCGCCGCGAGCACTCGATCGACGAGTGCGCAACGTCTGACTCCGTGATAGCGTCTGCCTCATCTGCCCATGCAGGCCCTGATGGACACGTTCGTAGCGAGCCTAGGGTTGTAGATCAGTTGCCAGTAGATTTACTGCGCAGGTACGCGGGAGAAGCCACAGTCAGCGCCTGTATAACCTGCGTAGCATTGACAGCGCCGGTCGCCACTATCGCACCATCCGCGTCCGGAGCATAGGTTGGGACATGGCATGCTAAGGAGCTGGGGCAAAGATTGCGACAGGACCCCAATGATCGCGCCGGACGCGAGGGAGGCGCGCGCTAAGAAACTGGGGTTCATCGCTACCCCAGTCCGTTGCAAAACATACTCGAATGTTCCGTTACAGGGCGGCTTTTTTTCTGGCGCGGCGGCAACTCAAGTGAGCGCATCCAAGGGCGCTGTACCAGCCCTCGCTGGCCTTGAGGGGAAATGGCCTGGCCTAGACTAAGAATGGAAGAGGGAGATGGGGCTGCAAGGCAGCCCTGATTCCCAGCAGGAGAGGGTTACTCTAGCGCACACGATCTCCTCGCAGAACATCAGCCGCTCGGGCAGCCCTGCCAGTGCTCGTAATCTGCAGTAAGTCCGACTGAGCCACTGACGGTCGGTAACGCCGGCCGAGCTGCTGACATGTTTCCACTCTTCCCCTCCAAAAAAAGATTTTCCTGTGGCGAAGCACGACAAGTACGCCAGGCTAGACTCCAAACGGCGCCAGAGCGACCCCGAGCCGGCGTAGGCCGCTCCATTAGGGCCGTAGGGACCGGGTGGGGCTAGCAGGAACGCAGAGCGTCGGGGAACTCGGATGGCTCCTGCGGCGCGCTCACGCAGCCAGGCCATGGGCGGCGCCTGGCCTCGTTGTCCGCAGAGGCGAGGTCATATCTCCCTGTCGACCTCTCCCAGCATCGAAGATCTCATTTCATCCGTGAGATCACGCATTGGAACAAAAAAATGACCCCGTGCCGCGTCCGCCGCGTCCGCGCCGTCCGCGCCGCTTCGCGGAAGGGAGATTCGAAGCCGCGACCCCCCTCGCGTCCAGCGGCGAATCCAGCGGTTGGGAAGATCTTATTTCGGGCCTCATCAGCCATTCCCGTACACAAACGCCCTGCCTTTGTGACACGCCCAATCCAACAAAGTTTGCCGGCGATTCGATCATTCATCGACATGCCAGCACGCGGTGTCCAGCGGAGGAAGCTGGGACGATCGTATGCCCCGAGACACCCGCATTGCACGCCGAAAGAGGCGAGTCGCTCATGCTCTGCGAAGCGCAGCCCGCGCTCATCGTCATCTTCAAAAAATCTTAGAAAATATGGGAGAGCCCGCCGGGCTAAAAACTATCAAAAGCAACACCTCAGGAGCTGCATCGTTGCGATTATTGAAGCAATTACACGCGATGGACGCGCTCCGAGCGTGGCCGAGTCCGCAGTGGTGAAGGTGTCTCTCTGCAGTAGGTGATTGCGTGGGACGGGTTCTTCGGGCCATTGAGGCGGATTCAGCACATTTCCTACTGCAGCGGCCGACGCCGTGAAGTCGGCGTTCCGGGCCTCCATGGGGACGACGAAACGGCCGAGATCGGCACCGCGGGGTGGCCCTCCACCGCTGGAGATGTACTCGATCCCACCGGACACATACTGGGGACGGGGCTCGGGCGGTGGTGTCGGCCCAGACCGCGTTTCTGGACGTGGGGGCCGCTCGGGCTGCCGCGCCACGTTTCTATGCGCGAGTTGGCGGTCGATGTTTTCGACGTCGATGGCCGAGCGGATCAAATGGGACGCCCGCGGTACATAGACGAACGATTCCCGATGCTCCGTGCGCTCGAACACGGTCGAAAAGGGTGCGGGGGACGCCGAAAACCCTCTTCCGACCCCTTGGGACGCCCCGCGCGCGATGCGACGCAATCCTCGGGAGTGACATCCCGCGGGGAATGTGTCCGCGACAGGGTTCCGGTCCTCGCAGCCGCGGGGATCGTTGCGCAACTCTGCGCCTGCGTCGAGCTACGGGCTGGAGAAGACGAGAACTTCGTCCATCGACGCTGCAAAAGGGCTGCTCGCAGCCTGATTGTTTGAGTTGCTTTTTCGAGGAATCGGTCGAGTTGCTTTTTTTAGTTTTTAGCCCGGCGGGGAGAGAGGGAACATTTTTAAAATGATGTTTCCAAGACGAGCGGGCTGAGGTTTTGGGAAACTAGGTCGTCTGTGCGAAAGCTCCCGCTACACTTTCCGAATCGCCCCGCAGCATTAGTCTCTTTAATGAACATGATTTTATCTCTTTTACAAATGTCGCTGGCTGTGTCTTCCCCGCCGGACACTTATCAGGAGGTGGCATCGCACAAAAACATGTACACAGAGCTGTCAAAGACCGTGCATGCTTACTGTCGGTGCCGCAATAAAGAGCGAGCATGGAGCACACCGCCGAAAGCGTGCCTGGGATTCCGGGGTTTGTCTCGGAGGCTGTCTCCTCGCGTTACTATCTCAATACTGTCTCACCTCCCATCTGCCGCATCTCGGCTTAGAGAGACAATTTGCCAATACGCAGCCATGACTGATGTTGTGGGTGCAATCCTAGTCCAGTGGAACAACAACAAACTCAAAGCTCCATCCATTGATAACTGCGCTAACCTCGCAAGGAGCAATGGTATTGTTGTGGAGACGCTTACTTACGAACAGAACACGTTGTTGAACCGGTATACGGGAACTCAAGCTATGGGCCCCCTGACCATGCTCCAGGACGACGATGTGAGGTATAGCGAACACGCAGTACGAGCCTTTGTAGCCGTTGCAGCGCTGTTTCCAAAGTCAATCGTGGGTGTCAATGGGCGAATGGCCGTCGCATACGAGAGCCCCGAAGCTACCGCAAAATACTTTCATCCAGATAAGGCGCCGGGGCGCTACTTGAACGACTCGCGGTATCGTATTGATGGTAAGAATACGAGTAAGTATCTCTATAACATGGCCACAGGAACCACATCGATACTACAGCGGTCTCTCATCGAACGCTTCATGGATGTACCACAGGCATCGAAGGATTACATCTCGAGTCACAAGCCTACGTGCGAAGATATCACGCTTCATTTCCTCGCATCCAACATGACACGGCAGCCACCTATCTGGTTCCGGCTCCATCACGACGACGGTGGTGAGCTTGACAAGCTTGGAGACGGTGACGGTCTAGAAATGCACCTCCACGTGATCAATTGGACCGACCTTAGAGCCAGATGCGTCGATCGTGTTGCCTCTGACTTCGGTCAATTTCCTCTCGTGCAGACAAATTGTCGCTTAGACCTCCATAGGTCCCAGCTCCGACACATGGACCCAGCCGTGTGGTAATGGGATTCCTCAATGCCAAGCAGCAGCTCAAAGGGTTGCTCTTTGAGCTCCTGGGACCTCCTCGCATGCTCTTTGGGCTCCTGGGACCTCCTCGCAGGTGCCATCAGACTACTGTATGCTGTCTGGTACCTGCGCGCACTCGCATTCACCCACGAACCACCTATCGTAAGCTGGAGAGATTGGACTAACTCCGCCTCATATTTAGTTTGGGACAAGTGGGACAAGCATTACCTAGGCATCCCCTAGGCATCCTATCTGCGCGAAGGTGCTTGCGTTTTTTTCGCCAGGAGACGCGCGGCTATCACGGTCGCAACTTGAAGTAGATTTGCTCGATTGTTGACGCTCAACCGTGACATCATTTTGTTGTAGACCTCGGTTTCCGACTCGGGCATCCGATGCAGCGGTTCCAAGACTTGGCGCGGCGCTCGGTCTGTGGACCTTGCCGCGCCTCTGGCCCGGCTGCGAGTCGCTCGGGAAAGACCATCGGTCGAAGGCGAGCAACTTAGTTCGCGTCGGGGCAGCCCGTGGATGACGAGACGGCCGTTAACGGTGGGGGGCGACCGACGAGGGGGCCAACTTAGTTCCAGGGGTCGAGTCGTGCGTTAGACTTCGAAGCAACACCCCCTGGAATGATGTTCCCGAGGGCTCTGTCTCGGTCCTAACGCACCGAACGTCTCATGCATTGCGCAGTGAGCGCCGC